GCCTACTTAGACCTATTCTGTTATGCCTGTTCTAACAATCCTGACATTCTACCTATGTAACTAAGCCTGCTTAAGACATAAAAATGTGCCAGTTAATCATATGTCCCGCATGTTAAGCGAGGAAGAGCCTGAGGACTGCCTTTGGGGCATTTCAGAGATGCTTGTACCATTTATTATGCACTGCAAAATAAATAAATAAATAAATTTAAAAAAAAAACTAAACTGCCAAACATAGTCAATGTTCTTACCCTGGAGCTTGTTCCCCTCATCCAGATGAACGATTTCACCGAACAGTGCCCTTCTAAATTGTATAGAACCGAACGCAGGTGATGATGGAAGTCCATCGGTGTTCGGGAGTTTCTGTGTCCGATTTTAGTTCCATGAGATTCATGCCCAAACACTGCTGCCTGCGTTCATGCGAACAAGATGGCTGCCACCTCGTGGTTGTCCATAGGAATTGCGGCCACCAAGACAAACAATTAGAACACTGCGGTGAGAACCGTTCCAAGGTGTTAATAGGTGTTAACAAGCTCCTGGGTGGTCCCTGGTTTGTGCGGTTGTTCGGTAGTCGAACGGGACAATGTTGGAATAGGAGGGGAATGCAATCTACTGAACAGACAGGCAAATGGAACAGAAAGCTTCTTAGTCCAGGGACAGGGAATCTGTTACAAACTGTAACTATCAAAAAGTGCCATAGAAATTCCCATCTAGCATAAACTTGATTTAGTAGATCTTAACCCAGATTCGTATTGGTTTATTATTATTTGTTTCTTATTATTTGGCGTATATATTTTGTTTATGAAAAAAAAAAGTGGTACAATATAATGTGAATAATGGAACACTTGTGAGATATTAATATGAATGTATTTTGAATATATGGGGTTCTAACAGGAAATGTTAGTGATAAAATTATATGTAAAGATTGTATTTACCTTAAGCATACTTTACTGTATCATCTATAAAGAATAAAATTTTAAAAAAAATTTAAACTTGCTGTATTGGTCCTGCCATAAATTTTCACATGATTTCCAATGCCTTTAGAGCTCACATCCCCCTCCAAAACATTAGTGAGCCACCACCATGCTTTAGGCCTTGTTGACCTCTCTCCAAACATAGCTGTAATGGACCCCGGGTAACCTGACCAGTTACCTCTGCTATTATCTTCCTTCGGCCTCTCAGGAAAGACTTTGAATATCAAGAGACCCATTTCCCTCCAGTAACTGGACGACACACAGCTCTGGAGGTACAAAACTGACTGAGATTTGTTTATTTTGTCACACATGGTTTTACATGCACAGACCCCTACATGGAGTCCCCAACACAAAACAACAGGGGTTTCAATCTCAAGAAGCTGATGGGGGATGGATGAGGGACACGGCAGCCAGTTCAAACTGGGCTGGCAGTGTCCCTGTGGCAACGCCCTGCTGTGACAGGAAAAGGAAGGGGGAGGGGGAGAAGCACAGACAAGCAATACATTTCACTTAACTATACTTTACAGAGCTACTGCTGCCCCCCTTAGTTGACCCACAGCTGCATATACAGTCACATGTAAAACAGTCCCAAAAATGGCACCGCAAGCTTGGGGCTCACGCCAAGTAAATCAGGCCATCCATCACATATCTCCCCCATAGAAATAGACAGCGGGCAAATGGGGATATGGCACTCAGTGATGGCGTTCTGTCACAATAGTGCTTATGGTTGTAACCATAAAGCTCTATTTTGGTCTCGTCACTCCACGTTACAGTGTGCCAGAAGCTTTGAGGCATACCAAGGTGTTGTCTGGCATATTGTAACCGGGCTTTTTTGTGGAATTGGCGCAACAAAGGCTTCTTCCTGGCAACTCAACCATGCAGCTAATTGTTGTTCAAGTATCGTCGTATTGTGCTCCTTGAAACAACTCCACTGTCTTTTTCCAAAGCACCCTGTATTTCTCCTGAGGTTACCTGAGGGGTTTTTCTTTGTATCTCAAACAATTCTTCTGGCAGTTGTGGCTGAAATCTTTCTTGGTCTATCCCCGATTTTCCACTTCTTAATAAGTGATTGTGACAGTACTGACTGGCATTTTCAAGGCTTTGGATATCTTTTTATATCCTTTCCCATCTTTATAAAGTTCCATTACATTGTTACGCAGGTCTTTTGACAGTTCTTTTCTGCTCCCAATGTTGGTATCTGTGGCAGCAGCTTTACTAGGTATAGGCTACAAACATTTAGCAACAAGGTTGCCAATCTGGTAGCAATTTGTAACCGTTACAAACTACCAGCTGTTGTTAATATTGTCAGATTACGGCAGCTATTGTTTATACCAACAAGGTTGTAAATGAAATCACCAAAACCAGTCACAAAGTGTGCACTCATAACCATCTCATAATGATTATAACAACATGTCATAAAAATATGTGCAGACCTCACAAGTGACAGGCAATCCAAAATCTTCACGCACACATCAATTAATGCAGACTCTTTCTCCCTCAGGGGAGTCCAAAGTAAAAGAAATACAAAAAAATTCAATAATACAAAAAATGCAATAATACAAAAAACGAAAAACCTGCACCTGCTAGAAAGGGGGTGTATAGGGAGAAGGACACAAAATATGAGAAAACTTCCAGTAACTCTGGACGCGTTTCGCACCTTTCCTAACACTTTATACACCTGTCCTAACACTTTATACACCTGTCCTAACACTCGATCAACATGTTGTTTACCATAGTATGCACTCTCCATGAGCTACCTGGTGGATTATTCTGAGATCCTTATGAGTGCGGACTGTTTGGCTGGTTTTGGTGATTTCTACATATGGGATTAATCAAGCACCAATATTAGGATCTGGGATACATGTTTTCATTTAATTTAGTGCACTCTCACTAACAGACATGCATACACACTCACTAACAGACACACACACTAACAAACTCACTAACCCACACACACAAACTAACACACACACGCACACAAAGTAACACACTCCCTAACAGATACACACACTAATAGTCGCACACACACACAAACACACACACACACAGACACACTCACTAACAGACACATACACTCACTAACAGACAGACACACACTCACTAACAGACACACACACACACAAAGAGACAGACACACACTCACTAACAGACACACACACATGCACTAACAGAGACACACACATACACTCACTAACAGACACACACAAACTAACAGACACACACTAACACACTCACGTTTTTTTTTAAATTTCAATCCCCCCAGGCTCCCTAGCTTTGGGAATGCTGTGGTGGATTATCACTTTTCCTGGGGTCCAGTGGGGCTGCTGGGCGGTTGGCCGGTCACTGCAGTCGGCAAGGGAGCACTGATTCTCCTGTTCAGCTCCCATAATGCCGGGGACGGAGTGACATCATATTCCGGCTCCGGCATTACTGCGGTGCACGCGAGGGAGCTGAACAGGAGGATCAGTGCTCCCTCGCCGACTGCCTGGAAAGTTCCGCTATTGCTAGCCTGGGAGGCCCCTTGGTGGCCCAGGACACGAGGCAAACAAGGCATTTGCCAGGGCATTTTTTGCCGCCCCCCCCAGTATGTCTTTCAGTGTATGTGTATGTCCGTTTCACTATGTCTGTCAGTGTATGTCTGTGTGTGTATGTTAGTATGTCTGGCAGGGGGCAAGATTCAGGGGGCCAAAGCAAATGGTTGCCCAGGGTCCAGTCAATACTAAAGACGGCCCTGCATATTTGCAAACCTGCATCACAAAATGTACGCAATACAATGATTCAATATATATATATATATTTTTCAGTTAAACTATTGCGTAATTTCATAATATATATATTCTAATAATCCATGCAAAAGAATAAAGAATGAGTATACATATGTGTATTATTCCCTTATAAACTATTATGGTGAAAGTGTAAATGTACATCACGCCCCCAGTGTTCACTAAACTTGGAATTGAGAAGAAACTGAGAAGCAGAGTTATTCACAAAAGTGAGAATTGTCAGGAATTTAAATTGAATTCAAAGTGAATTTCACATTTGAGCCCAAAGTAGAGGAACTGGGAGCATAGCTGACTTTTTTCAAGTTTTTCCAAGTATGAAGAAATGTTTTTTTTTGAAGATGTACCTTCTCTAAACCATGTCTTGCTTACCTAGTATGAGGTTAAAACTAAGCTGGGTCTAGCAGAGAATATTTTACCTTCTTTAAAAAAAACAAAAAACATTAGGTGATCTTTTGACAGATGTTGATCTATCCTTGTGGGTCTCTTAGGGAATTAAATTTGTGTCTGATTTAATAAGCCAGGATAAAGATTCTCTGATCAATTTGGGGATTTGAACAGAATTTTCTTGGGTTACCTTGAAGTAAGATCTTATATATTGAAAAATCTCAGGTTTAAAATTGAACAGAACTTAAGGTTTGTTTTTTTTAGCAAATTATTACTAAACCTGATACCAAAATTTTTTATTCAATATATAATTAATTATTATATAAGGTAGAAAAAAGATCTAATCCATTGGCTTTATTAAAATGGAATCAAGATCTGGGTATATCAATTTTGTTTAAAGATTTTGTTTTATGGACAATACTTAATGTCCATTAAAATATTCATTGTTTGAATTTAAATTAATTACACTACAAGCTCCTTGACAGATGGTATTCATTTCCCAAAAAGTTTAATAAATTATTTCCCAATCAGTTTTCTGACTGTTGGAGACGTGAGACTAGTGACGCAGACGTTCTCCATATCTAGTGGAACTGTCCCATTATAAAGATATCTGGCAGGAGGTTATAACAAAACGAAATAACACGTTAAAGTGTGATATACCATCGAGAACAGATCTGATTCTCTTGCATCTTAATTTACCCAACATAAAAAAAAAATAAGATTTAAATTTACTGACAGTGGTGAAGCTGAATATTACAAGGGACTGAAAAAGCCGTATTAAAGCTGATTGGTATTTAAAGGGACACTATAGTCACATGAACAACTTTAGCTTAATTAAGCAGTTTTGGTGTATAGAACATGCCCCTGCAGCCTCGCTGCTCAATCCTCTGCCATTTAGGAGTTAAATCACTTTGTTTATGAACCCTAGCCACACCTCCCTGCATGTGACTTGCACAGCCTTCCATAAACACTTCCTGTAAAGAGAGCCCTTTTAGGCTTTCTTTATTGCAAGTTCTGTTTAATTAAGATTTTCTTATCCCCTGCTATGTTAATAGCTTGCTAGACACTGCAAGAGCCTCCTGTATGTGATTAAAGTTCAATTTAGAGATTGAGATACAATTATTTAAGGTAAATTACATCTGTTTGAAAGTGAAACCAGTTTTTTTTTCATGCAGGCTCTGTCAATAATAGCCAGGGGAGGTGTGGCTAGGGCTGAAGTGGAGGTGTGGCTAGTTTCATGTTTAAACCAATGGCTGAAATTAGAAAAATAACCGATAGAGAATTTTTCCAATTTATAGTAAAAATTGACTTTATGAGTTCCATGATTTTTTTTTATAAACCAATACAGTGTTTTTCACTAAAGTAAATTGTTAGGAATTCAAAAGGAATTTAAAATTTTAGTTCAAAATAGCCAAATTTGGAAAATTTGCTGTGTATTCAATTTGGCTATTTAAAACTAAAACTACTCTGTGAAGTCACATTGAGTTGCTGACAATTCCCAGACTATTGGTTTATGTTTGTTTATTGCATCCCAGGAAATAACTTGTGTATGACAGAAATTACAATATAATATTCCTAGTAAAATACATTGGCCTCCGTTTAATCTGTGTGAACCAATATCAAAACTTATTACAATATATAAGAAAGACAAATGATTTATCTAAAGAAGTCACCATTAAAGTCTATGGGAATATTTGTAGATAAACTATTTAAAAGGTTTTTCTAACACTTTGTGATCATTTTGAAAAACTTATCCAAAAATATTAAATCAAAGTCATTATAAGTAAAGCATCTAAATAATAATAATTAATTACATATTGAATAAAAAATCTTGGTATCAGGTTTAGTAATAATGCAATACTCTGGTATTTTGGCATTATATATTTTATATATATGGGAACGTGGAGCCTGGAGTTGTGGGAAGGGGATGATCCGGCCTATATAAGCCCAAACTTACCTTATTACCAGGCCAACGTTGATTGGTCACTTCCAGTTCCGGTTTAGACAGAAGAGCTTCCTGTGTGGTTTTTCCAGCAGCCGAGATACTGTCCAGGCAATTCAACAGGCCCTCAGACCATGGACCACCGACCCCAGCCTCAACCGCTCGAACTCGGTTGCTCCCAGCACCACTAAACTCCCGGGGCACCTTCCCGAACTTCCGGGTCAGATGACAGCACCCAGCAAGAGTGAGTACACGGGAACATGTGTTAAACTACCGAATGGGGTCGCATACGCACGAACAGTAACAAACGCATGCATAATCCCATTTATAGAAAAGCACACAAAACCGCCATGAACACGGTAAAAAACGATACTTACACCAATTCCTAACACTCGATAATTTGCATAGGAAACTCCATATGGCTACCTTCACCTTGTTTCAAACTAAATCAAGCAGTTAGTCTGGCACAATTCACGTTACAAAGCTCAGTACAATAGTGAACACCAACACCGCCACCCACTGTCAAAAGTTGCTAACTACACTAAAATCCAACCTTTTTCACTACAGATGTTACAATGGTAAATTGTTTCGCAGGGAAAATCTAGAAGTTATAACTGTGACATAAGTCTCATTTTTAACTTTGTTATAATATGTCGCATTTGTCAGACCAAGGAGAGGACTTCTCACTACCCAGCACACCAGCTAGACCACCCACACCAACCACTGCCCCTCCTGCAAGTGAAAACCAAGACCCTTCAAGTCTCTGTTCCTTAAGGTCATGGACCATCCCAAAGATCGCCTCAGAACTAAGGCAGAGGGGGATGCCATACCCAGCCACCATCAGAAAGGCAGAACTATATAGACTCATGATGTCCAATTTGGATAATTCCCCACCAGGGACCAGTACGCAAGGCAATATCAACGTTACTCTAACAGGGATACAGCCCCCAATGATTTCGATTCTGGCATCCATAAATAATTCAAACCAAAGGATGGAGAAGTTGGAATCTTCAACACCAGCTACCGTAACTCTCACAGATATCCTTCCCACACTAACCACCGATCAAACCTTCACACAGGGCAATATCACAGGTACACCGATCACACAAGCTTCTGCTACACATATCATCACACCTGCACACATGGTCCCTCCCAACATCAAGAAAGACATATTGGAGGGCAAGGATGGAAACCCAATGTCCTTATCGATAGCGTCCCAAGACATAGTCGGAAAAAAAAACTTAGAAAGATTACAAACCCGTTGTCATAGATACTATGGTGGCATTTACCTCTTTCTGCCAATTGAATCTAAAACTAGCACACAATACGATAAAACTATATCTTACAGGCATACAATACCACATCATAAACACATACCCTAGTCACAGTACCTTCATGTCTTCAAACCCAATAAAGAACATCTTAAAAGGTATCCTACGATTAGAAAGTCACAAACCCACGAAACGACAACCCATAAACGCTAACAAATTCCGAGCATTGTCCGACACACTGGATACACAATCATTCGAAACCGAAACAAGCAACACTATCAAAATCGCTACATATCTGGCCTTCAATGGGTTCTTATGTCCAAGCGTATGAACAGTAGAAAAGACTAATGATACCACATGCTAAAAACAGCTGACCTAAACAAAGTAGGAGACCACTACGTCTTGACAATACGGCAATCTAAAACAAATCAAACGGGGTCGCCTGTCAACATACCTATGTACCCCACAGGCAACAAATGGTGCCCAATTCAATTATTTATCTGAACCTAAGAGGTCAAGACAAAAACACCCTCCTACTGATCCTACACGGTAACCCACTGACAACCCCTAAATTTACAATATACATAAGAACTCTCTTTTCAAAAATAGGTTGCGATCCATCAGCTTTTACAATTCATTTAATTCGTATAGGTGCAGCAACAGCAGCATCTAGTCAAAATATACCAGTGCACATCATCAAAAGAAAAGGACGATGGAAGTCGTCAACATACAACCGATATATACCCCAACTAGAAAAAGAACTCAGACAAGTCAGATAACAAGAAAAACGACACAACTGCATGGGTTTAGTTAACAGTGAGATACGTACTAAAGTGGCTTTTGTTACATCTCTTTTTGCCCTCTTTATTTACAAGCCTGCCCGAACATCGGTTTTGGCACACCACAACCGAATTTAGTAAATATTATGGTTAGTGCTTACTCGGCTGGTTTCCCTGACCACAAATGGGAATGCAGAGCCTGGAGTTGTGGGAGGGGATGGTCCGGCCTATATAAGCCCAAACTTACCTTCATACCAGGTTGACGTTGATTAGTCACCCCACCCACCATTCCCAATATACACAAATTCCATCTTGGTGGGCCCTCTTTATTTACAGAGATAAAAAGTAGTGAAAGAAGAGAGTAAATACTCAAACTTTCCACCAGGAGTTGGTTTGAATAAATGGTGTATCAACTAAACAGTGAAATAAGATAAATGTTCAATTATAAACACCAAAACATAAAATAGGGATATCCAAAGTACAAATGCTGATTAAAATGCAATTGTGTGAAATACATCTCTAAAACTTTAGTCCATTGATAGACATGTCCATTAATAAAAGAACGTCCAAAAATATTTCAGCTTGCCATAGTACAACTTGGAATACTCCTGCTTTGAAAAAGTCAGGAGGTTTCAAGTGGCTGAAATAATATAGTATACTGCTAAATCTTAAGTGGATACAGTATATATACAAATGGAGGTTCTTACGCCTTACGCGTTTTGTGAAACAACCGTTAACTTCATCAGAGGTAAGCATCGAAGGGATTTGTACGGTTATATAGCTGCCGGGCGGGTCTTCTAATAAACACCTAACCCTTGCACTGCTGGTCATACCCTAAGTCTACTAGACCTCAACTAGCAATCTATATATCCATAGAAAATAACGCACCATTAATTTAATAATCACTGCATTACAGTTAGGAAATGTCCTCATCAATATCAGCATCTATTTATAATTAAAAGAAACTATTACGAAATATATCTACAGATTTATACAGAACATTAAAATAGCATTAAAATCCAAATGTATGCAAGAAATAAAATTGAATTAAATGCATAAATAAATGATGACATATTATCATTTAGATATACCCATAATGAATCATAAAATAAAATATCCGTACGCAAAATCACTCGACAATTCTTTAGAAAACTTGATTAGTTAAGAGTTCCAAAAAACAAATGGAAACCTAGTATGTAGAAAAAGGTTATTGTGCAGGAATGGATACAGTAAAATGACATCATCAGAAACAGAAATAACATACGGGAAAGTGTTTGTGAAGTGGCTATTGTTACAGAAACAGAGATAACATACGGGAAAGTTTTCTTTATTTACAGGCCTGCCCGAACATCGGTTTTGGCACACCACAACTGATCTTAGTAAATATTATGGTTAATGCTTACTCAGCTTGCTTCCCTGACCACAAAAAAAAAATTAAAAATATATATTTATTTATAAAATATGAAAATAGTTTTCAAAACATAATAATAATTTAAAAACCTTTTTCCAAAAATATTAAATCATTTCAAAAGCTTATCGAAAGATATTAAATTAAATTTTCAGCTCACAGCTCATCTTACATAGCACTACGTATAAAGGTTCTATAATTGTTTTTATAAAACCCATGGGCAGGGTTATCTATCCCTTTTGTACCAGTATGTCTAATTATACATCCCTTGGCCTGCAACTCTCTCTATGGGTAATTCCTAATTTTGTTAAGTGCTCTGGAGAAGAATTCTATTTAAGAACTGTTATTAAACAGTGTCATAGCAAAGAGTTTATGTTAAATCTTCACTTCCACTAGGTGGTGGTCTTTCTTAGCATGCCCTTTCCGAGGTGGACATCTGTACAATATACTCTGTAAATTTGTAGACAAGGGACTACTTCAGGAGAGCAAATTTTTACTTTAGAACATGCGTAGAGTCACAACATTAATATATTATTATTTATATAGTGCTACCATGTTATTAGCACTTAAGTTTACAAACGGAATAAAACAGAAAATAAAACAAACTATTACTAATGATAACAGCAGTGAGAGTTTAATGAGGACTTTACAATCCATAGGAAGTGAAGGTGAGTCAGGTCACCAGGTATGAAACCAATATCCAGCTCAACTAAGAGAAGATGTGTGAAAGAATCCTCGAAAACCAAAATTCGTTCATGTGGCTTTTAGGAGATTCAGATGAATCTGGTTCA